TCCTTAGTGCTCACCTTAAGCAGGAGAACCACCCTCACAGCATCCATACTCTCCAAACAAAGAAACACTGTTTTCGCTGAGATTTTTTTTAGATTTTAAGATTTGAAACCAGAGTCCCTTTCCCAAAAAAAAAAAACCAACAGAAAAACCATTTGACAATATATTAAGCATTGTAATCATAGAAGTGGCTTATCAATGCTCAAAACCCTATCCAAGATACTCAATTACTGCATGTGCAGCAAATTGAGTGAAAAGTTAAAGTAATCTGAATATGGCACGACACTTTTTAACAGCCCATGAGCTAACATGTCCTCAAGTCATGTTAAAACAAGCTCTTCCTAGTAAATACACTGAAGGAGGTATGGATCCTTCTCTCTGCACTGATATGCCTGGACAAATCAGGACTAAACACAAAATGACTACACAAATAGAAAAGGAATGTAAAAGATCCAGGCCAAGCTCAGAAGACATGTCCAGAACATTCTACCTAGCTAGAAATGTATAGCAGTTTGCACCCACAAGAGTCAGCCACGTTCGGGGCCCGGGGAATTCCTGTGGCTGTAAATAACAGAACAGATACAGCAGCAAGCAAAGGCACAGTTACAGAAAGGCCAGACAGAAATGAGTATCTGGGAATTCCCAGTGACCTCAACCATATTTTTTAGCACATTGCACAGAAATAACTGCAGATGAAACATGCCATTCTCTGTTCATAATTTGACACATCTCTAGTTGAAAAGAGGCAGATCTGAATACTTTCAGAGAGAATGTGCCAATGTTAGGGGTCAGAGTAAAAAAAGGTAACCAGCAAGGACTGAACACCCAACATCTCCTGAAAAAAATTATCTCTGGACTCCCTGCTGCATAGCTTCATCTCCTAAATGGCGTGTATTCGGCTTCCGCTTCCCCCGGGCTTCAAGATTTTCTGCAGGAGATCTTATAGATCACAGACATATCCAACAATTCAGCTAATCAAAACTCTGCAGTACCTGAAAATCGCACCACTTTGAGAACTAAAAGTGAACCCTTATAACCCTTATAGAGGTGGTAGGAAAACACATACTTACAGCAGCCCCTGCAATGGGAGAAGCTGGCAGCAATCTGAACACGGGCAGGCTCCTCACACGTACCACTAATCCATCCAAGAGCAGCGCATTAACAAGTCACCCTGAAACCATTACGGTGGAGACAATGACAAACTTCACAGGGAAGGTGGGTGTAAACAGCTCTGTGGGAAACTGATGTTAAACTGAACAAATAGGTAGCAAGATGCAAATGACTGGGCAGGGATTCATGCCACTGAATTGCGCTATTTCCGCCTCTGCAGCTAACAGTTCTCCCAAACCCTTCTAAGCATTTCCCTTTTCAAACCGCATCACTCTGATCTTGCCTGCTTTCAGCCTGCAGGATTTCAGCTCACCAACTTTGCTTTCCTACCAACCTTCTTTCTCCACTTTCAGCTTCTGCTGGCTGAAAACAAAACACAGAATTGAGTGCCAGGATTGTTTTGCTATAGCATTTGGCCTCTGAGCCAGGAGATGAAGAAAAGGGAGGACAGGCAAAGTAACTATAGCTGAGGACTGCCCCTCACCGTTCTTCAAGTTGTGCTACAGAGGAAAAAGAGTCAGAAAATTGCAGATACTACTTCCTTCTTACCTCTCAGTTCCGTGGGAGGGCCACAAACACATGCAAGAACATCTCAGCCACCCAGCCACAGGCGTATGTGAGCATACTTTGCTCAGAACCATAGAACTGAAAGCGTGTTTTCTCCTTCCTTGATCACTGCATCAGCCACATATAACTTCAGGGTATGGCTACTTCCTGCAGCCCTGTAGAGGATTTTGATGGGGTTTTCTCTCCCTTATAGTTGGTCTTCATGAGCAAGCAATAATGGTAACTATGGAAGTGGCCTGATTTTAACAGGTAGAACAAAATACCATGCCAATTTAATGACAACGTGTGACTGACCAGCATTACTCCTGAAAGGGAGGACAGCTCGGAGGAGAAGGGCAAAAACCCAATGATCTCAGGGAAGAATATGTTGTAAAGAAAGCTCAATTCACCTCAGCATCAGGGAGACTGGAGGGTAACCTTAGTTTTAGAGAAGAGAGCTGCACCTGTGAATCATCAGGTTCCCCAAGACAATTAACAAAGAATAATGTCTCCCTGAGCTAGCCAGACCAGCATGGGGAGTGTGAATATGTGTCTCAGCCCAGCATAGAAGTATAAAAACTGGACAACTGATAAAACTTTTAAACTTAGAAAAAAGCAGTGAGCTTGAGCTGGCTTCAAGCCACATGTTCCATTGTGACTGGCATACGGAGACCAGTAATGAGGATCATGTTTGTATTGTGATTCAATTGTGTATTGCAATTGCTAAATTATGCTTGTGTTGTAATCTCATTATGTTGCTGCATCACTCTACTAAATCAAAATCCCATGTTGCACCAAATATACTGAATAAGTAAATTTGATATCCAATTCCTCCTCATGTGGAATATCTGAAAGAACTTGGTCTGAGAGTATTGAATTCTGACACAGGGAAATATGAAAAAACAGAAATGCTGTAGATTCACAACTTCACTACTGGAACAGCTGCCACCTTCCAGCAAGTTCCTCCCAGAGGAAGCAATTATTTAATTTAAGCTATATCTCCTTATCATAAAAAAAACCCAAAAAACATTCACAAATCTAATTACTAACTTCATATTAGGGTCTCACTTATGAAAACATTATAAAAATGTAAATAAATCATTGTCACATTTCCTAAATGGTTAACCAAATGTCAGCCACAGAACTGTATCATACCTGGTAACACCTTCTGGTAACTTTTGCCACAAACAGCACTCTCATTTACATGTGTCCTGGTTTTGGCTGGGACAGAGTTAACTTTCTTCATCGTAGTTGGTAAGAGGCTGTTTTGGATTTGTGCTGAGAAGGCTGATCACATACTGATGTTTATAGTTGCTGCCATGACAGTCAAGGACTTTTCAGCTTCTCTGCTGTGCCAGTGTCTGCAGGTGCAGGAGAAGCTGGGAGGGAGCACAGCCACGATTACTAACCTAGGATTTAAACTTAGGTTTAGGATTGAGACCAAAATTGGCCAACAGTATATTCCATGTCATGCACGTCATGCCCAGTATATGGATGAGGATCTTTCCAGAAGTTATCTCTCTCTCCAGGTCAGCTCTTTTTCTCTGGATCACCCCATCTCTCTCTCCTGGTCGGCTCTCAGTCTCTCAGATGCTGCTCAGCCTATTTTTTTTCCAGGACTGCAGTTTCAGAACTCTCCCTGCTCTGGGATCGTTAGCCGGGAATAGGCTAAGCCTTGGTCACCAGATGGTGAGCAGTTGCACTGTGTATCACTCATTTGTATATTTGTATATATTACCATTATTATTATTATTATTCTTTTCAATTTTATTGTAGTTAGTTATTAAATTGTTCTTATGTCAGTCTATGAGTCTCTTTACCCCTTTAATTCTCTCCCCCATCCCTGGGAGGGGGGAGGGTGGGCAAGCGTTTGTTGCAGTGTGTTGCTGCTAGCCAGGGTCAAAACCACAACAACATAGTGCCTGTAACATCTATTTATTATTTATGAAACCTCTATGAACAGAGCTGTGATTTTAAGAATGGGCATTCTCCCTTTTACGTGGAAGGTGAAAAAGGGTAAGGGGAGCAAAATGCAACTGCCAGCACATTGTGTGGAATTAAAAAAGAAAGTTTTGCTTCAAGAACATAAGCAGGATTGAATAAAGAACCTCTGCTATACGGCTGGAGAAGGATTTAAAAAAAATACAAACTAAGAAAAGCACAAGTTACAAAGCATCTCAAATCTATCCTTTATCTTGTTATGAACTCAAAAGGAATGTAGCCGTTAGAATCCCACACAGCTCCTACACATTGCTGAGGATGCAAGGTAAGAACAACCTCATCAGCTGCTATTATCAAAATTCTGAATTTAAACTTATTATTTCCTACCATCTCCCCAGCTGCTAATGAAGGGATATCAATATGCTACCCCTCGAGGTGGCTGCTATCAAATACTTCAATAATAACTTCTTCTGCTGAAGTACAAGTGTTCGTCATGCTGACTGTCCCTCAGTCAGCTCATCTGAAGACAAACACACCACAAACAAAGGTGATGTGAAAACCGAGAGTGTTTATTACAACAGAAACAAGAGTCCACAGGAGCTAGAGTCGGTTGCCAGGAGGAGAAGGCATCTCACAATAGTGGATCTAAATGGAGTGGGACCTTCCTTCCAGTGTCTGACAGCCATTTAAAACAGACTGTCCCCTAAGAGCTCTGAGGAAAAACACAATGAGAACCCTTACTATTAAAAAACCTAAACAGTAGTGCTGCACAATAGTGGATCTAAATGGAGTGGGACCTTCCTTCCAGTGTCTGACAGCCATTTAAAACAGACTGTGTTCTGTAGTGCTGTTAGCCAAGTAAATTAATAACATAAAGCAAACCAAATATTTGGAGGGAAAGAACCAAGCTTGTATTATCATAATCATATTTTTTTGGTCCTTCTGGACAAAGATGGTATTTTCCATGAAAAATTATACAGCTTCCAGAGACAGCCAGCAATTCACCTCAGGGAAATCAGTTATAATCTCCCTGGGAAGGGATCCAGCATTTTGAATCTATCTGTTCTTCTCTTGAGATTTCAGGGACTTTTAACAACTTGGACAGAAACAGGACTTCTGTTGGCATTTCCAATAACTCTTAAAAATTATACATCTTGGAAGTGCTTCAACACTTGAAACTCAGACAGAACAGATTCTACTGCTTCTGCAGAACACAAAGCCAGACCTGTCCTCCTCCATGGCCTTACCAGACTGGTAAAGATTCAGGTGCCAGGCCACTGACTGAACAGGGGAATTGGAAAATTCAGGTCCCATGACCCCTTGAAGGACTGGGACTAACTACACAGATCCAGATGATTTCTCTTGCAAATTCTCCTCCCTGTGGAAGCCCATTCCAGAAGTGATTTCTAACTGAGTGTATTCTTATTTTTCTGCTTTTCAATCGACTGACATTGTGGAATTCGGAAGATCAATTGCTTCCGTAGGGTTGATGTTATCTTTGGCATCTGCTTCCATCCATTTAATACTCTTCCTCCCACTTCCTTGTTCACTTCTGTCAGGATGGTTATGAGATCCTTGCGGCTTGAACAAAAATTAAGAAAAGTTACATTGAAATACATGGTACTTGCAGCTAGGGCAAGAACCTGATCTGTGGTTGCTCCAATAAAGTGGTATCTCGGGGAAGCTCAGTATCTGCCCCTCACCCTGCCTGTCACTGAAATTGCACACTCCATTGTGTAACCACAGAATTCAGTGCAACCTCTGTGTAGCATCGCTTTAGCAGCAAGCACAGTCCCCTACTTTGGTTATAGTCAGAAGAGCGCACTAAGATGAAACAGAACCAAATCCATGCATTCTCCAAGCCCTCTTCTGGACACTATGAGAAAGTCATGTCTGAACTCTTATTTTATAAATCAAGTTTATGATAGGGACAGGAGGGAGGCGACAATTAAAATTATGACTAAAGAACACTGATTTTTTTTATCTGTGTAATCACTCAATCAATTCACCTCTCATCAGGTGTCACTGGAAGAAAAATAACTTACCAGTCATAAAATGTTAAAAAACATGCACACACATACACACGCTTGTTTATATGTATTGTTCCAGCATTACAACCCTGGTTCTGTCAGAGGCAAACTAGAGGAAGTCACTTGTACTTTGGTTCAGCTGCAGAAGAATAACAATGCCCAGTTCCAGAATAATTACTGTTCTGCACTGTCCTGCAGGTGAAAAGTATTATACAGCACAAATGCAAAATACTGATGTTTCAGCACAGCATGCTTAACTATGTATGTCTACAATACCCCAAATGTACACGGATTAAAAATAGTACTTACAGTGGGCAAAGCAACTCCATCTTGTTGCAGAGGCACTGAACGTAAACACTGCCAGTCTTTGTACAGCGATAGCACTCATAGTCTTCCACTGTAGCCATACCAACCAGAATATCAGCCTGATCAGGAATGGAAGGCAGAGGAGTAGCATCTGTCTCAAGATGGTCAGAAAAGTCTTCTTTTACTGTGACAGCTGGATGACCTACAGAGCCTTGGCAAGCCTGGATGAAAAACAGCTTGGGTTTGCCAGCAAGAGAAGGACAATTAGATCCACTGAAGCAGGAGAGTAAATCTTTAATATTTACAAACTCATGATCAACGCCTTTTATTTTGTCTTTTTCACCATGGGAAAAAATAAAGCAAACAAAACAGTCCATGTTACTATGATCTTTTTTGCTGTATTCTTTAACTTTTGCATACATTTGCTTTGCTTCTAGATCCATGTGCTCAACTGTCTCAAACTGAAGCCACTTAAACACCCTCTTCACAGCCTCTGGGAAAAGAAGTCAGAAGGCACTTGTTAAACATAAACAGTGACAAGGAAGATGCTGAAACAACAGTGTCTGTGTGGTAGAACAGATATTAGCAGAAGTGTTCAGATCCCACCAATAAACTCACCTGACGGACTCTTAGCCTGACAAATCTAATTTGAAAAATCAAAATGCCTAATTTTTTTTTTTAAACACGACTGGGTTAAGCATCATGCTATCTAAAACAAAAACAGGTTTCAGACTATCTGATTAATCATCATTTCAAATTAATGAAGCTTACTGTGTTAAAGCAAGCTTTAACTGTGCATTGCATAGTAATCTCAGGTGCTTAAGAACAACACTTAGCAAGTTAAAGAAGAGGTACCTCTTTAGAATAACAAATTTTGACACTCTTGAACTAAGTAGGTCCCTCATTCTGTGAGAATGATCAATGCAACAAGAAAGAAGGCAGGGTAACCTGCTAATAAATGCTATGCAGACTGTAGACAGGCTGGATAGAGTTAGGATATCAGTGATGTGTGCTTTAATGAAACCAGTTTTCCTTTTTTAAGGTAAACTCTTGTTTATCTTAAAAGTGGCTCTTGCAGGAAGATAGGTTTTAAGGAAAATCATAAAGCAGTAGCATTTATTTGAGCTTTAAAGAAAATGTAAGGACACAAAAATATTACTCCATGATAGCTAAAAATTAAAAACAATCAAAAACTAAAAAGGTGTAACAGTAATCTCTCCTTCACTATTTGGTACATATTACCAATTAAGACGATGCTTTTTACCTACAACAGAAAGTTGTTCCTTCTTTAAGCCATCAGCTAAACTGCTGGAAGTGGCATATTTCCAATTTCTACAGTGTTTGTCATTCCAGTAACTCTTGAGGCAAAGGAGCTCAGTGGACATGATTCTTCTTCACAGGAAATATTAGATAGATAATTATTTCAAAGAATTATTAGATAAAAAACCAAACCAGTAATTGGATTTAAAAAGTACTTACCTCCATCTTTCACTGTTCCTTCTCTGGCTTCATATGGATTTTTAAAAATGTAGTTGTTAAGAATCACACAGTAACCATGGGGATTATTCTTCATCTCATATGATTCCACAAGCTGTAGAAACAAAGAAAGCAGATGAGAAAGCAGTGCCAAGCATCCAAAAGAGAAACATGTTATACAGAGATTGTTGGTCCTTCATGTCCAAGCACAAAAAAATCACAAGGGCCAAGATACAAGAAAGGAAAAGCCTAAGAATACAAGCTAGCTACAGGGGAGAGGAATCTGCTTCATCTTCCTGAGTCCCCCTGCCTCTCTCTTAGGATATTATTTTAGCATGGGAGAAAGTGAGTATCCAAAAACACATATTTGCATGTGCAGAGGAAAAGTTCCTGCACCCTATCATTCCCTCTGAGAGTCCTTGTGGGTTTCTAGCGACATAGCAGATTCTGTTTTTCCCTTCCCATCTGTCCAGGAGTATCCTGACCAGGACTTTAATGTCCCGGTCTCCACTATTGTTAAGACTGGTTTTCTTCACACAATAGTTACTCCTTCATTTCTTGCCTAAAAGGGTGCTGACAGGCAGGTCCTCACAAAAGAACAAGGCTTGGTGTTGTTTTAAAAATGGGAATTGTTCCAAGGCCTAAATATAAAGCCAGAACCCCTCCCTTTCAGCTCTTCCACCTGTTTAGTCTTAAGAATTTATGCTCCCTCCTCCCAGGAGTTGGATAAATACTTTAAAGGTAATCTTGAAGTATTTCTCACCAGGTGTGGGGTCACCCCCTCTGCTCCTTGTCCTGCTGGATGCACAAACACAGACACTGGATAGTGGAGTTTTTCCTTAGAATCATTTTCTAAGAGGGAGAAAATAAACAACATTTTAGGACTAAAAAGATAACTCTTCCACTCTGCATATTTCAACACCCAAAAAACCAGTGCAAGGGGTGAGGTGGAGGGTCATCACTGAGACACCACCATTTTGTGGAGCTGGGTCAAGCGAGTTTCAGTTTCACAGACTGCTGTGCTCCAGTTCTTCTCTGCTCTTTTACTGGTAGCAAGATCCAGATAAAAAAAGGCTGAATGTGAGTAGTTGCCCCAGGCAAGCCGCTCACTAGCATCTCCACTATGGGATACATAAGTGAAAGAGGAGACCTATTTTTGTACAGTGGTACACTACAGGTAGTTCAGTTACTCCTGAGGCCCTTGTCTCTTCTCCAGAGAAATTTACTGTCTGGGTGGACACACCAAGGATGCAGGATATCAGCATAACGGAGGATCTCCTCAAGGCAACAAAACACTTATTTGAATACAACTGCCTGAAGTGAAGAAATAATCAAACCCATGCCTCTACCCAAGGAAATAAATCACAGTGCCCCTTTCAGAAGTTGCACAGATGTGTTTAAATTGAATTCAACTGCCAGGGCAACAAGATCTACAAGACACGGTCTTTTTCTACTCAACAAGGGGGGCAAAATAAAAACAATACTACTAAAGAGCCTTTCCCCTGACACAGCACTTGCTTACTCTAGTCACCTTTGGCAATTTTCTTCAGCTCTTTTAGAGACACAAGCACAGGTCAGCAGCACAAAGACATGCTGGGGAAACTAGCTGGTGTCTCTGCAGGGAACTGCATGTGGTGTATAGATGTGTCTAAGGAAACACAGGTCCCGAGTCATCCAAATGAGTTTCTGGAGAAAAATTCAATAGGTCTTGGCTGTTGTTGGTTGACATATCCTGTTTCCCAAAGATTAAGGCCCAGCTGTGCTGTCTACAAGCCACCACCTCAGCTGCAATGGCCCAGATATACTGAAGTCTTTGAAATTTCACATCTGGTACAGAAAGCTAATGGTTACACCTGATCTCCAGGGACTTCTCCTTTGACTAAGAGCAAATGGCCTGGCTAACAGAAAATAATGCTGACAATCTCCCAATACAAGCTTCCCCAAGGCAACTGTCACCTCCAGTCTCTTTCAGTGACTGAAAAGCTATCCCGGTCCAAAGTCAGCACTGCACTGTTTCCTGACCAGAAAAATTGCATTTAAGGCAAAGATGAGGGAGAAGCAGACCATTTACAAGTCACAAAATGTATTTCAAGGAGAGATACAAGAAAGTATGATGGGATAACGAAGTAGCAGAAAACTTCAGAAACCACAGGTACCAAGAGCTGCTCTGCCCATCCTAGGATACTGTAAAGTCTTTCTCTTATCTCTGGACTGCTAAGCTACCAAGGATGGAGCCACAAAAACAACGAAAATCTACCTCTACTCTTAAACCATAGATTAAATAATTTACCTTTTTTTTTTTCTTCATAGGTATCAATTTTTTTCTTTATGTCAAGTCTAAATCCCTTTAATATATCTTTCAGCATTGTCAGGTTATCTTCTTTAATTATCCCATTTCTTTCCATTTCCAGTAAGACCTTCAACATTGACTGGTAAAACAAAAACACATAACCCAAACTCATACAGTGACCTTCAGTAATTGTAGTATCAGGCACTTCTGGACAGAGCAGAAGACAACATCCTTATTCCCAGAGATTGACCAGCTAAAGACTAATTTATTTTTCCTCCAAACCTCATTAAAACAAGGGTCAGGATGCAATGCAACTGAAGAAACATGTCACTAAGGTTAAGACAGGATCATCAGAAATTGCCCATGGCTATGTTATCCTGCTTTGTTTCAGCAGTGCAAAGCACCAATGCGGAAAACAACATATGGATGGCATCCTGTTGTGCCTCTGTGTTCAGATGAAGTGCTGTTAAGTCTTTTAGCTGTGCCATTTTACATTTTCTATTACAGAAAAGTTATTCAGGGCTAATTTTGTTTTTTTAAAGCTCCATAGTCCACCAAGTTTAATCTGATAGTTTTCCTACAGTTGCCACAATACAAATAGGACTTTTAAGGAAGCTTCTTAATAATACCAAGCATTTTTATAACACTGTTCATTATTTACAATACAAGTATTAAACTAACTCATGAAACGTCTTAATACTTTTGTGGGGAGTTAACAAAATCCTGTTACCCCAAATTACAATAAAGAAGAAAATGTACCCAATGACACACAAAAATTTATGGTTGAACTCACTTTAGAACTTGATTTTCTGTCTCCAAAGTATTGTTTTTCCTCCAGCAAACATCCCTCTTCCCAGTATATATACAAATGTCTTATAAATGCCAAGCTAAGAGGAAAGAAAGAGCATGATGGATTTTGCAAGAAGAAAAGATTAGGGAGACAGATGGTGGAGGGAAAACAGGAACAGGAGAGCAAAAAAGGGCCGAAAAAATATACAATGAGAGAAAAAAAGGTCCATTCTTTCACACAGCAGCTATCAGCTAACATCACAATTCTTTCAACAATAGATTTTAGTGAGAGTAGACTGCTTTCTCTTTCCTCCCTTCTTACAAGAACTAGCAGACTCTGAACTAGCCTTGACAAGAAATTTATCAAGATCTCTTTGCATACAGCATTATCCTGGAGCTTGTTCTTTGGTATTTGTTTTTGGAGCAGGAACTTAACACTCTTGACATCTTCTGGAGTTAAGTCCTCTGCAATTCCATATAGCAGTTGCCTGGCAATAAAGAATAGAGAGGAAGACTGATTAAGAAAGTTATGAGAAGTAAACTTCACAATTACACATCTGAACTATAAAATGTAAAACTCGCAATGGCAGGCAGTCATGCTGTAATGAATACAGTTATGCTGGGATATTCATAAGACAATGGTGCAGACAGAAAACAAGGCAGAACACATCAGAACTGTTGTACATTTTGCATGCAAAGATTTATCACTTCTGTGCTTACCTGTAGGCTGACACCTTTGCCCTGCCTGGGATCTGAAGCTCTCTCTCCATCTCCTCTCGGCTGGAGCCCAGGTGCGCAGCCAGCAAGTCCATCCGACTGATCAAGAAGAGCAGCTCCTTCAGGAAGGCCAGGTTCCCTGCCTCAATCATGTCTTTCTCCTGTAGCACTTCGAAGAAGGCCTTGGGCTCCTGGATGGCTTCAAGCTTCCTCATAGGGATGTGCTCCAGGCTGAGGAACTTCAGTGCCTCCAGTTCATCTGTGACCAAAGCCTCAGAAATGCCAAAAAGGAATTTCTGGAAGTCTGTACTCATTTCTCATCAGGATTTGGATCTAAATATAACCAGAAGTCGATTTCATTTGTCAATAACAGTAGTGCAACAACATGATTATAAAAGGTATCACATCATGTAGAATAGCTCAAAATAAAGCAATCAAAAATACTTCAGTACAGAGAGGCTGTCTTGCTATCATAGCTTTGAAGCTTAGCTCTTTTGCTTTTCTCAACTTAAAAGGAATATAAAAAACTCTGTACTATGTGAAATTGACAGGAAAGTCAGGGGCTCATTCTTGTGTTTAGTCAGTGGGAAGTACTGAGGCACAGGATGTACAATCCTGGCAGGCTGCTGCTGTTTTGGTTTTGATTTGGGGTTTTTTGAGGTTTGATCCCATTTGGGAGCAAAAGCCGCATGCCAGTCTGAAATACTGGAATAAGATAAGAGTCCACATGAGAATAACTCTTCTAAGCTACCTGGCCTTTCCTTTCTTTCTACACTGCTTCTGACCCCGGTCAGCACAGCCAAAGCACCTCCGTCCTGTTTTGGCTTATCTGCATTAAGTAAAACTCAGCTCCCAGCTCTCAGTCTATTTGTAATATTCAAATCAAATAGAGATCACGTCAACCCTTTTAAAAAGGCCAGGAGAATTCTTGTTGAATAGTTGTCCCATTGCACTCACTGGGAGACAGAAAAGTTGACAACAGCAAATCAAAACTTCCTGCTCCTACACTACCGAAATATTAGGCAATCCATTTTAATGTTATTGCTACTGCCAATGTTTCACTACCAGGGCTAATAACTCCAAGGTAGCCCAGCTGAACTAACTGAATCAGGACTACTATAAATATTAAAAAAAAAAAAAATTAGTAGACAATTTTACTCCCCTCTCCTAAGGACCACTCTATAGCAAAGCAGCTTTTTGTGGCATACCCTTGGTCTGCATTCTGTTAGTTAGCAAGAGTGACCATACAACCTTTGTCTATCAAAAAAACTGATAAAACAGCAAAACGTGTTACGATGCAGCATATAGTAGTCATGGTCTGCCCCCAAATACTGTTTTCTTTAAATCCATTCAAAGGGACTAGAATCCATACCATTCAGCCCATATCACCACAAACCCACTAGTATCTGAATGAATCATATGTCCTTAACCTCACGAGTCAATTATCTCAGATCTGACTATATTTTTATATCCACACAGGAAAGAGAAGAATACTGTCTTGGTAGCTAGTTATGAAGTTATCTTCTTTCTCACATAAATCATGCCTTTTGTTTAAGATACAAAGCGTGTGCTTATAAAGCACATTTTTATAGTACAGGAAATTTCAATTTTTATTTCTCAAAGGCTGAAAGTTTCAAACCCACAAAATTATTGCAATTAGAACAAATGTGCCACCTACACACTATATTTAAGCCTGTCTGTAAATACAGGGAGCACACTAAAATGACGTTTAACTGCTTCCATCTTTCTCCCACTTTACTAAATTAGACACAACTCATACAACAAGCAAATTGTTTAATAATAATAATTAAAAATAT